ATTTTCATATTAATTAAAAATTATTGAAAAGGGATAGGAATTTGTTTCGGCAAAGACCTAACCAGGAAGGTCTTTCAGGGCGTGACGAAGCTTTTTGAAAACGGTCTTTTGCATGATATAGGGGCAGATGCGGGACCACAGAACCATGTTTAATTTTTCCTGAACGGCCCTCTGAATACCAGAAAAGGGGTCCCTAGTTCGATTCCTCTTGGTGACAAATTTTTGCATTTCGAGTTGACGTTCCAAAATTCGCGCAAAATGGAGTTCTGATTGTTCTGGTTGGTTCTAACTCCATTTTGCGCGAATTTTGGCACGTCAACTCGAAATGCAAAAATTTGTTACCACGAGGAATCGAACTAGGGACCTCCTTTTCTGGTATTCAGAGGGCCGTTCAGGAAAAATTGAACATGGTTCTGTGGTTCCCGCATCTGCCCCTATATCATGCAAAAGACCGTTTTCAAAAAGCTTGTCACGCCCTGAAAGACCTTCCTGGTAAGTCCAGTGAGGAGCGGAGGCTCTAACCACTACAGCACTATTTGTTCGAAGATAGCGATTCTTTCACTACAGCGACTAAGTTTCTTCAGAAATTTGGAGTATTCCAGTTTCGTGAGGTTGCAGAGATATGGCACTCAACAGACGACATGAAAGTATGCTCACAGTGAAGAAAAGAGAGAAGTATTGAATGCAGAAACTTATTGAAGTTCATTTCTACAGACTGTATTCCCTGAAGTAGCCTCCAAGTCGAAGTGAGGCAAGCTTTCTAACTGCTTCTGTTGTTTCAAGAAAACCTTTTCATCGTCCGACAGCTCTTCCTTCAAATTCACCAAAGCGGTCAATATCTCCAATTTCCTGGCATGATGCTCCTTCTCCGTTATTTTTTGCATGCGCAGGTCGTTGTCCATCTGAAATGAGAATGAAAAAAACCATGAACTAGAAAATGTTCTGAGAAAATGATTTTGACTTGTTTTTAATTTGATTTTTCTTTTGCATTTGAGCGCATCCCCTGGAATCAAGGGAGGCGCTCAAACCATCTACACCGTATAAAAAAAATGTGTGCTTTCCGCTTTCATGACACAACAAAAGTCACAACGCAAAACGCTCTACCTAAAAAGTGCCCCACTTGTTTATACGTTGGACCAACTGAGCAGTGCGGACCCATTTTTATGGATAAAGAATGTGACTGCAAAATCTCAAAACCTGAGCCACCTATGTGACAAACAATTTACGACCTCACGCTGAACAGCACGAACCTATCATGCAAAAAGGCAAGATACAGCAAGATTTGGACGGTTATTCTGCGAAAGCAAAAGGTGGAGACTGGGGCTGATTGTAAAACTAGCTGCATGGCGACTCGGTAGTCAAGAGAAAAAGCAATTGAAATCATTCGGGTACATCTTAACGAGGTCCTCTTTTGCCGACGATCTTTGTACGAATTAACAAAGAACTGGCAAATGGCATAAGACCAGATGATGATGTAATGGGCAGTTCGTGGAGAGAGAGAGCGGTAAGAGACAGAAATGCGTTCTCCAAGGGCCATATCCCATCCTTTCCCCCAGGGGAGCGCGACCCTCGCTGCTGATTCTATTCCAAGCTTGGGGAAGACAAGGTTGCGTCATAGGACCCGCCTTTGAACGCGTGATTTTGTAGCTACCCTCTCCTAATAGACACTCTGAATGGTGGCGCTGTCTGGAATCTAGAAACGCAGGGTATAGCTGGCCCTACGACGCAACCTTGTCACCCACACCATAGTATAGATCAAGCGGTGGGCAACGGTCCCTAGGAAGAAGAGCACAGATACGCCACATTTCTAACGCGTTGTTTCTGACTTTTCACAAAACAGTAAGAGGAGAGGAAAATGAAAGTTCTTCCTCACGCGAATACTATTTACTGAAAGATGATCTCGACAACGTACCACTATAAGCTTCTGCCGCAATGCAGCCGGTTGCTTTCTCGCGAACAACGCCACTATTTCAGGCGTTCGAAATGCTTGGCTAATTGCAGCTCTGACAGCCTAAAGAAGTAAGCAAATCACTGAAGAAGACTCCATTTTACTAGGCGCACACGAATGCGAACGAAAATGAAAAGAAAGAGGTTGACTACTAGGTAGCGCTCGTAGCGTTGGGTGAGGATCAATGATAATTCAATCTTGTCTCATGAGATAAACGACTACAAATGCAACACTCCTAAATGCGTGCTAATTCTGCCATAGGCGGAGATGGCTGTGAACAAATGAGTGAAAAAATAAATGCATATTTATAACCACTCCATGAAAGGTAGATCATAAAAGCTCACTCACCATTCGAGTAGCTGTGAGATTATCTATTACTGTGATGGTTCCTCCAGTCATTTTCTCCAGTGTTCGACTTAGATCCTGCATAAATTGCATGGATTCATTATCAATAACGCGAGAAAGGGAGAAGCCGTTACTTCTCAATAAGGGTGACCCAAAGCACGCTATTGATGAGCGCTAGCAATGGGAATCACACTCGTGGCGATATAAATGAGGAATAGTGGTAATTTGTGAATAACTCTTTTTCAAATACGGGTTGCCACAAAACGGTTAAGGACATATAAGAAATCCTGCGAATTGAACAACACGTCCTCTCAACATGCACTTTTACTCTCTAGCAGCCACCTGCATGTACATATATGCCTACATGAGTGGTTCTGCTGATTCGCTAAGTTTCAGGGCAACTACATGTAAGAGGTATCACTCATAACAAAGTTTTTAATAAAAACATAAATCTTACTTGAAGTTGTTCCATTGTTTCCGACTTCAGTTCTTCGTATTCTTTGGCATCCATATTGGGCCTAAAGTTCTGACATTTAGGAGAATTCTCAGTTTGACGTAGCTGCACGCGAGCGAGAGAGAGAGTGGAACTGTGCGCTACCACCGAGGTACAGCTAATCTGGTAGGCTTCCGTGTTCCGAACTCGATACTACAAATCCTCAGAATTTTGTGGAAAGAAAGGACATAGTGATTTTGTCTCACTGTCCACGCGATATGCGTAATCAAACACCAAACAATAAAGCAGTCTGTAAAGGAAAACTCATTTTGTTTTTTAGTTTGCTTACCTCTCTTCCTCCAGATCAGACAGCTGATTCATCAGACGATCCAGTTGATTTTGCAGATTTCCCACAAGCACAGCGTCAGCCATGTCTGGAAAAAACATATTGCAATACAGCATATTCCCAGTTAAATAAAACATTCTGTAGGATATAAGGTGCTAACTTAGTTGGGGGGGGGGCACGCGGCGGCGCGGCAGTCTGCTCGCCTGGCATGTTCGGAAATCCGTGGGCCAGGGGGAGTGTAGGCAGTCTAGGGGGTGGGGGGTGGGGGCAGTCACTTGACATGCGTGAAAAGCTGGAATGTTCGAGTTTACACTGTCTCGCTCGAGAGAGCCCAGGTGAGCAGACTGCCGCGCCGCCGCGTGGCCCCCCCCCAACTAAGTTAGCACCGAATAATATCTCATTCGAAATGCACAGCATATGATGTCAATCACCAATGATTCGTGACTCTTTTATAACGGATCTCACTAAGATGTTGACATTTTTTTTTCAATAAAAAGAGTTTCATCACAATACAGAAACAAGTTACTAGGGAAACTCAGCTATTACAGTACAATGAGATAATAAAGTTTGAGAAGTAGAAGAAGTACGCAAATCGTCGACTACTAGAAAGCAGGCGACGAAATAATGCGTACACCCGTAATGCAGAATTGTTAAGCTACAGACATCCATAATAGGCACCTGTATAAAAATCGTGAAGTCACGTACGTAGAGTCACGCTGAAAAAGCTTTAAAGCTGCTTCTTCGTGTCTGTTTTTTCATCTTTATGTTTGAGGCAGGTTTTAGGTGTAGTTAAATTTTTGTTCCTGTAGCCTATTGTGTACGAGCATTGATTGTTTTCGTTTCCTTTCCGAGATATTTGGATGATACCTTGCTGATTTCGACTCAGGTGTTTTATTCAAAGATTCATAGAGTTATGGTTGAAGATGTTGAGGTGTGTGGTCTTCTCGAGGGTGAGGCAAACTTTAGTTAAGATTCACAAGCGCGGCTAGGCCTAACGGAGAGGTAGCAAAGTGACAGAAATAGAGAGCCGTAGTGACTCCTATTAATCCGTTGGGTCTCTCTTGTTGCTCGTATAGTTAGGTCCGTTATAATTCTCTCTCCCTCCCCGAACGTCGTGAATCTGCAGCAAGCTTGTTGCAGGTTGCTCTTTCCCCAGAGCTACACTGCGCCTAAATTCCATTTCACTGCAAGCTTCATTTAATAGTGTAGAATGTTTGACGCTTTTTCTGAGAACTGATACCAAAATACGTGTGTTGTAAATACAGATTGCAAATTAGATATTTGTCTCTATTCTCTTTAAAATTTTCAATGATTTTGCTCCATTTTTTGGAACCCTCAGTGTTACTCGTTCTACTTGTTGATGAAGAAATTAAGTCATATTTAGCAACTACTAATGCTCCTACTATCCACCAGTTACTGTAACTGTGTGACGTTAATTCCCAGTCTGCTAACATATGTTGTCTATATTTTATGGTTTTCAGATTGTTCACCGTTTTTCGATAGTTGGCTGTGAACATTGACCACAAAACAACAATGTTTGCGGAATCATCTGTAAGTGGTTTTGCTATTTTCAGGACGTATTCGCTGACTATGCTTTACTTCACGGTATTGTCGTTGAAATCGTTTGTTCTAGCCGAAAATTAATGTATTCATGCAGGATTCCGAATCGGATGCTCCATCGGCTGCTAGAGATCAAAGATTGTCTGCACTCGCAAAGACGAAACATGAGGATTTGAAGGAGACCTTTGAAGAGGAGTATGACCATTATAAGGTGCATCTTTGAATTCTTTTGTTTTGTTTTGCCATGCAATTAATTTTGCTCCATTCACACATCGTATTCATTTTTTCGAGCTCTGAGGTGCTTCAAGTATAGTCTTCTATGGAAAGATTTCATTCTGAGCTGATTTTGATCGTGACTGTGACTTGACAGAGCTTCTTGTCACACTGAAGATCTGGCCACAGTAATTCTCTTAACATCTCCTTTTTCTACCGATCTAAGGGAGTTAGCCTAGCTGCTGCATGAGAATGTGATATTGTGAAATAGGAACAAAGCTGAACGAACTTAGTTGAGGATGCCTTCGGTCAGCTGCGAATCACGTCTGACGAATTAGTAGAAGCAAAAAAAGGAGAAATTGTGCAGCAACTAGTGCACAATATGAAACCCAAATTGGAGGAAGAATTGCCTCGTAATAAAAAAGTTTTATTGTGGTTGAACGATGACCGGCCTAAACATACATGGCTTTATAGCGGTGGCTGTGTTCTGAATAAACGCTACAAAAAGACTCCGTCAGTGGTGAGTGCGTTTAAAATAGTTACATGGATATTGTGAGGGGTTTCGAAAAAATAGACGTGTACGACTATGACGAAAATGGAAATTGATAAGCGATCGCTGCACGTAATGAAATGCCATCTTTTTTTTCTGTCGATATTGTTTTTCTGTTCAAGGGAAAAAGGAAGCATGAAGATGATTCCGCTGAAGGCGATCTATCAGATTCCTCTACGGAGGACTCTGAGCCTCCGCCAGCGAAAGTCGTTGCCACTGATTCGAAGCCAATGTCAAATGCGGAGAGAATGATGGCAAAGATGGGTTACAAAGAAGGAAAAGGTTTAGGAAAGACAAAGCAAGGTGCGTTGCAGTCCTTGTTAAGAAACCTTAACTGTAAAATTCTTGATTTTGAACTGTACTCAGCTCATCGACTCCATTGTAAGTTCTTATCGTTTAGGAGCTGTTGAACCGGTTGCTTTGTCTACTCAACGTGGTCGAGTTGGTCTTGGCCACAACATTACCAAGGTAAGATATCCTTTCTGTCCGCTGTGTATGAAACACCGGTATAATTCGAACACCATTGTATACTTTAGACAGTCGGCCGTGACTTTTTGGAAACCTGGGATGAGTCCAAAGAGGACAAGACCATAGAAGAACATGTGCGTTGGATGCCAGAGTGCCCTGAAAGTACACGTGATTGGGTTGTCGATTATCTTGAGGGCTCAGAATGGATTCAGATCGGAGAAGTAAGTCGTTTCCATTTGTACATTTGCTTTTTCAATATAAAAATTGTTCGGCCTTACGTAGCTCAAAAACCATACACTCCAGCCACCGTCACTCTTTGCATTCATCAAATTCTGGGAGCAGCTCGAATCCCTACTCCACTCCTCGTGGAGAGCTCTTCGTTTTACCCATATCCACGACTTTTAAAACTACTTTGTCACAGTTTAGCTGTATAGCTGAAGCGCAGCTGAACACTTAAGCCCATTCTTAACCTCCCAAAAATTCACGACCGGGATGCGGCGGAAAGGGCTGGAGTTTATGGTTGCTGAAACGAAAAGAATGCGGGATTTCCTTTCTAATTTCTGTTGAATTCCATGAATTTTTCCACATCTCAAAAAATATTCTTATGTCTTCCAAAGACGGCCTATTTCCCAGAACTTATTATTGAGTGGCTGGCTCGTTTGAAGCTCATGAGAGCTTCCTTTGATACTTGTGATAATTTGTTTTGCTGTAATTTTCGGTCCACTTTTTGAAATTTCAAAACGTTATTTCCGTGCTAACTTCAAACAAACCTGCAGTCCGCAGAAGTGTCGCAGTCATAGTCATGACCCAATAAGATTGGGCATCTGACCGATATATTATTGATCTTTTTTTTCAGAAGAAATT